GCCCACTGCCCACCTCACTGTACCCACCTCACTGCCTGCCTGCTGCCAACCTCATTGCCTGCTGCCCACCTGCCTGTCTGCCTGCTGCCCACCTTACTGCCTGCTTGACTCACTTGCTCAGGTAACTTGGTTCCTTCAGGGTGGGCCTGTCATTCTGCACTATGTGGGGGTCCACTTCAAGAGTCCACTTCTCTAGTCTCTCATTGGTTCATTTCTTCTAGCTCAGGATAGGAGGAATGTTAACTAGACCTCTGAGACCCACCCACCAGAGAGGCTCCTAGAAACTGGTAGCTGGGACCTGGAAATATGTGACTGGGGAGAAGCAGCTGATGGGTCTTTTTGTTTGTTTCTTTGTTGTTGGCTTCTTGTTGTTGTTTGTTTTATTAGGGAGGTGGTCTTTCATTTTTATTAAGCATTACATAACATTTGTGTGCTGTATAACATTTGGGTGGCCTTCTACCAGGAATAGATGACTATAGCTAAGAGTTTTGTTTTTGCTTTTGTGTTTGGGAGGGCGAGGGGGTAGAATTTTAATTTTCTCATTAACTAGGAAAATGCTTTCTTAATCAGTGCTTTCCAAACCCCTGGATACATAGTTGTGATTGACTCCACAGTTGTGCCTATCTCTATCCATCAAAACCTACTGGTAGGGAAGTCTGCCCACTCTTTATCCCTTGCCCCCATTAGTGAATTTGTGGATGTACACAGCAGCTAATCCGGGGATGACTAAATACATGCCTACAATGGCAAGTCCAGGGAGAATCTTGAACCACATCTCTGTACAGTGAAACACAACCTGAACCCTATCTGGATCTTCCTGGGGTTTTGTTTTTATTTGTTTGTTTGTTTTTGAGACAATCTTCTAGTATATTCTAGGTAGGCCTTGAACTACATAGCCCAGGCTGGCCTTGAATTCTTGGCATGCCTGTAACAGCCTCCCAAAGAATACTGGGAGTACAGACATGAGTCATAATACTGGTTTATCAGCCTTAACCTGGGAGCCCTGCTCCCAGGGGACTTGGGGGCTATTTAGCTCCATACCCAGGTGTGTCATTGACTTTGAAAGACCATTTAGTGGAATCCAAAGAGGCCAGCAGGTGGCGCTAGAGGCATAGGAATCTTTCTGGAAACTTCAGCTAGAATGAGCAAGGCCAGCAGTGCTCTACACATACTGGTGCCTCACACTCAGCAAAGTCTGACCCTCCTTGGACTCACCAGGGAGGCACGGCGGGACATGCGGGTGAGTGGCTTAGACAGCCCTGGGCTCTCCAGCTGCAGCTTCTGCAGGAATTCCTGGGGCAAGCGGATATCCATGGGTAGAGAGAGCCTCTTGTTGAGGTCCTGAGGAAGCAGATGGGATGGGAATAACTCCATGTTGGCCCCAGAAGGCCTTTGTCTCTCATTCTGGATCTACGGTCCATATAGGGTAGGGCCAAACCACAGGTCATGACCTCAGGCTCACAGCTACCTGAAGGGTAGATGATTACCATGTGACCTTTAGAAGGTTCCTTTACCTCTCTGGGCCACTGTAGCACTCACTTTAGAACATGAATGTCATGCTTTTACAGACAATGTAATTTTGTAAGCACATTTTTTTTTCTATACCTGGCACAGTCAAGTTGTCTGTGACAAGAATCAGGAATGTTCTAGCACTTGACATATATTCTCTCTGAAACCCTACAATGAGCAGCTCCAATTTGAGCCCTGAGTGGGAGGCTCTACAGGAATCACCCTGCTATGGATAATGCTGTGGACACGTCTGACCATGGAGCCTGGAAGGGGCACCCTCACCTCCATGGAGAAGCGGCGCTGGCTCTGCCGTTGCTGATACTGCATGCCAGGGGACAGCTGCCCAGGCTCATCCCGGCCATCTGTGGGGGAGAAAATGCTTGTTATAGTGCACAAGACTGAGTGGCATGTCTGGGTGGGACAGATGTCAGTCCCTACCTCCCACTCCACAGTCTGTTGACAGCCCAGGGCTCCTGGGCCCTTCTCCCTAACAGAATGGCAGCTAGTCAGCGGGGGTCACGGGAGTCTGGGTGGGAAGGAGCTAGGTGGGCCTGACCCTCACCCTCATTCCTCTGGGTGTGGAGCTGGTTGAACTGCTCGGTTAACTCAGCCAAGGATTCCTCAATGGTCTCTGGGCGGGGCACAGACAGGGAAAGCCTTCGCTTGAAGTTCTTCATCTTGTTCATGATCAGCAAGGGCCCTTGGTAGGTCCTGGGACAGAGAGGAGACAATCAGATGGTGTGACCACTTCATGGTATTAACCATGGGAGCTAGGCTCAGCCCATGGCACGCTTAGGTCATCCTGACCAGAGCCTCAGCTCCAGGATAGCAGGATCACACCCTGTTCCTTCCTCCAGTGACAGTCAGATAGCTACCTTCTTTCTTCGAATCTTCCCTCCCCTGATGCCACGGCATTCCTGGGTATAGCAGCTACAGGTTCGCAAGAGGCCACTCCAGACATTCAGCTTTCAGCTGGGGTAGAGGTGGGGTGATCTGGAGATCTCTAGGGGGCAGGATACCAGAACTAGATGGACCTCTGCTAGCAGGACATCTGCTCTTTTAGAAAGAGCCTAATTGGGGGGTGGCCACCAGCCACTTGTCAACAGGTTTCAAACTCCATGGTACCTGACACTGTTACCAGCACTCCCCTCTGTGGCTCATCCCATATCCTTAGGAAGGAGATCAAGGGAGAACAAGCACACATCTCAGCCCTACCTCTGCTCCAGCTGCAGTGTACAAGCCAGGAACAGCGTGGGAAACACAGCCAGCCCAGGAAAAGGGAAGCCTGAGCTCCTGGCCTCTCCCTTGCCTCAGTCCTTTGAGCAGGCCTGGGTGCCCTGGGCTGAGGACACAGTGGGGTGGGGTAGGAGCTGCCCTCTTCTATTGCCTCCGGGTGGCACCACAAATGTTACAGCTGCTTTCCACAGGTGGGTACTTTGTTCCTACCCTCTCTCCCTCCTCTATCTCTATTTTGAGTCTCACTGTTTATCTCTTTCCTGGCCTAGAAGTCGTTATATAAATCAGGCTGGCTTAGAACTTACAAGAGATCCTCCTGCCTCAGCCTCCCGAGTGCTGTGATTAAAGGATTGTGCCACCATGCTTTCCCCATAGTCCTCACCCTCCACGGGCTTCATAAGCATTCATTCACAGCCACATCCCCATCCTGCTGGGCCCTCCACTGTCTTTTCCTGCAGTGGGGCTACAGAGACCATACCCTGTCTACATAATCCCCTTAGGTACCCATCCTGGCCAGAAAGGCATCAGGAGGACCAACCCTGTTTGGGAGGGGCCATCTGTATCCTTCCCCGGGCCTACTTATAACCCACTTCTGGAAGATGCTCAGGCCTGTGGCTGGCTAGTACCCAGTTGCCAAGGCAACCAGGCCCCTCCTGAATCCTCTTGGTTTAAAGGATTATGGGTCAGTAACATGTTTGCTTTGCTTAATGATCATATCTTCCGTCCTCCGTGAGCTTGGAAAAGGTCTGCTCCTTGGAGCTCTATGCTCCTGGCTGCCCCTACCACAGCTGAGCTGGGCCCTCAGGCTCTCCTGACTCAGGCCTGTGCTTTTCCAAGCAGAAGGCTCTGGTCTGTGCTGCCAGCTGAGTCCTCCTCTGCTGAGGAGCTTGCAGTCCAAGTCAGTTCAGCCTGACATACCTAGGGTGGAGCAACTTCTGTGTACAGCATGGTGCTGGACACTGGGTGACAGTAACTAAACAAGATCCCCGCTCCCAAGGATCTCCCAGAAGACAACCACCCTGCTACATGCCCTTGTGTATGGCATGTAGCTGAAAGGACCCACAGAGGCTCTGTGAGAGTAACAGGACAGATGGGTCCAGTGACAGGGAGACTTGTCACATCCTGTCTGCTAACTCTCATTCCCAGCAAGAGTGGAGGGCAGCAGTCACTCTGTGTGCATGCTTATTGCTGTCCAGGAGTGCCGAAGGCTGGAGTGACCAGAAACATCAGAAAAAATTCAAACTGCCAGCTTCTGGAACTGGGTTCTGGGGAACTACTTGGGATTGAATCCAGGGCCTTGCAAGTGGTAGGCAAAGGAAATGCTGCCTCCAAATTATATATATATATGTCACATGTATGCAGGTGCCCCTGGGGGCCAGAAGAGGGAGTTGGATTCTCTGGAGTTGAAATTACAGGGCATTTGTGAGGTGTCTGAAATGGGTTCTGGGACCTGAACTCAGGCCCTCTGGAAATGCATGCAGCAAGTCATGGTTCTAGCTCGTTCTTCTTTTGCAATAGGTATTTCAATGTAGCCCTGGCTAGCTTTGAAGTTCCAATCCTCCTGCCTCAGTCTTTCTAGGATTACAGGCCTGTCCCTCCAAGACAGAAAGAAGATATATTTTTAAAACAAAGTCTCTGATAATCGGTAAGTGGAGATATGGTTGCCAACATCTGGGGTTCAGGTGAGGGCTGACTGTCAGACCACCCTTCCTAACTGCCCTATGGGCCAGAAGGGGAGCCCTCGAAGCTCAGAGGATGCAGGAAGGAGACAGACCCAGTGGCAGGAGCCACATAGGAGACCTTCTCTGACTGGGGAACACACGTCTACACGTCTCAAGCTCCAGGCACAAGCCAAGGGGAACAAGGTATCCACGTCCTCGAGCACCACCACAGCTTTCCGAGGGGATATGGGGCACATTCTAGGGAACGCAGGGGACACACGCACTTGGATGCTCATAGTTCCAGCTCTACTAGGAGGGGACCAGCCCCATGTTTAGAACACAGCTTTCTTATAAGACCATGCTACAGTGTGGGTTTATGGGATGGTGTGATGGGCCGCTGGCTCAGGGACCCCTCAGGAGCTGCCATGATTTACACCCTGGCTTTTGTTCAGGGTGGATAATTTCTTCAAGACAAGGACCGAGCCAAAATCCCATCTGCTCTAGGGATCAGTTAGGGGCAAAGAACCAGTATCTGGCCTAGGATGGCATGAAGGGTGGAACAGAGAGGAAACACTAGAAATGCAGATTGGAACCCAGGTTCTAGGCTCAAGGCTTGACCTGAGCAGTCTGTGTGGGGCTACTGCATAGCAAGAGTGACCAGCTGTTCTCTCTGCTAGAAAAGTGGCCAAGAGGAAATGGTTGTCACTACAGCATGAGGAATGGAGGTTGGACGTAAGGATAGACTTCCTGATGGGACATGAGAGCAGGCAGCAGAAATAGTGACCAGAGCAGAGAGTGGCTATGTCTCTCTGCTAGGGACAATTAGGGCATTGAACCCAATAGGGTCTTGGGTGTGACAGGGCAGTCGGGGCAGTGAATGGTTTGTTGTTCCCCAGCTCAAGACACAAGATGCTCTGTCACTCTTGCCTTGGGAGAATCAGCTCCTCAGATTTGGGGGCTGAGGGGGAAGGGAGACAGGAAAAGGGCCTGTCACCTTGGTGCTGTCTGCCTGTCATCCCCAACTAGGGACAGAAAGGCCCAGTGTGACCCAGCTTGAGGCCCCCGCCCAGGTCCAGGCACAGTGTGGCCTTTGTCCCCAGACCAAAGAGCCATCTGGGTCTGTCCCGTGCAACTGGTGCCAGGGGAAGAGAAGTGTGGGGTAGGGGTGCCACCCAGCAGGGTGGCATGGGGGAGGTCACAGCAGAGGCCCCTCTAGAGCTGTGGGCTGAGTGGGCAGACCCTATCTAGCCCGCCTCCTACCTCCTACTCAGATAAAGCCTCCTGGTCTCCTAGGCACACTACAGCTGCCAGCACTTCCTGTTAGTGTCAGAGATAAGGCTGTCACAGGGGAAGGGAGGAGGAGCCAGAGGGATAGAGAGGCCTTGCTAGGCTACTGTATACCATGAGAACAAAAGAAAGGCCAGACTCTGAGGCCAGAGGGGAGCCAGTGAGGAAGGGAATGGTATTTCTGGAGAGCTTTAGTCAGTACCCACAGACTGCAAGAAGGGATGAACCTACTCAAATGGAGGCAGAAGTTTCCAAGTTGTCCAGTGCATGATGGTGACCACATCACCTCTCCCTTCTAGCTGAGGTCCTTCCCCATCCTGTCCCCTTGCTGAAACCTAAGTTGCAAAACCTCAATCAACAGTCAGGTGAGCATTCTACCACTGAGCCACACTTGAGCCTTGTACCTTCTCCTGGGTAAGATGTGCAGCCATTAAATTGGGTAGGGTGGTGATGGCAACAAGCGCAATAAAGGAGAATCCAGTGGGATGGACGGCTAGCTGAAGGGGTCTAAGTTTAAACAGGGTGGTCAGAAAGAGCTCCCTGAGGCTGCAGAGATGGCTCAGCATTAAGAACATTGGTTGCTCTTCCAGAGGACCTGGGTTCAATTTCCAGCACCTATGTGCCAGCTCACAACTGTCTTTAACTCCAGTTCTAAGGGATCTGGCACCCTCACACAGACGTACATGCTGGCAAAAACACGGATGCACATAAAATAAAAAATAAATTATTAAAAAGAAAGAGCTCCCTAAGAAAGTGGAACCAACCTCAGAAGTTCAGAGCAGAGTATGAGGGGAGCAGATGGGGATGGGGGCACAAGACCTGAGTGCTCAATTTTTGAGTAGTATTAGACGGGGTGGGGGGTCATGCTGGGATCTCAGTGTAGGGGAGGGTGTGAGCAGACGAGTGGCAAGATCCCACTGATGCCTGGACTCCCTCTGGCTGCCATGTTAATAACAGACTGTATGTGGGCAAGTATCCCTGTCAGGCAGCTCCAGCAGAGACTCAAGTGAGAGCTGGTAGACTAGGACAGGCATGGCAGCAGTGGAGGAGGGAAGTAGTGGCTGGGAGGGTGAGAAAGCAGTCAAGGACATTCGGCTGAGCAGTCAGAAGCATGGAAGTCCCTGGCAGGTATAGGAGTCTTGGGAACTTAGTTTTGGGTGGAAACACCAGAGGTTAGATGGAGTGGGTGAGTGTTGATATCAGATGACTTCTGAGTGGAGAGTCTGAGTGGCTCTGCATCATTCATGGAACATGGTGCAACTCACAGCAACTCAGTGCTGTTGCTTCAGCACAGCCCCGTCCACTGCCTCTCCCTACTGGCCCAGCCGCTGGGACAACCTGGCAGGCATTGGGGGCAGGCAGCTCAGTAAACTGGAAGAGAGAGAAAAATAGGGAGACAGGTCTTGCCTTAGACAGCTCTGCAGGTCACACAGAGCAGGGCCAGATGAGACAGGTCTTATGCACCTTTTTTTTTTTTTTAAAGATTTATTTATTATGTATATAACATTCTGCCTGCACGTGTGTCTG